GGCGGCCGGCTGCTGCTGCCCGGGCTCGGCCCGCTCCTCGGCCGCTTCGGGCACCGCCACGTTCTCTGCGTCCTGCATGGGCGCGACGCTGCCGCCTTGCCGAGCTCAGCTGCTGCCACGCTTCCGACTCTACCAGGCCACACCGCGCGTCGCGCCGGCTACCGCCGAGCCATGTGCGTGCGACGGGGGAGGCCGCACCAAGGTTGCGGGGCGGGGGGGGCACCCACCGCCCTGATCTCTCACCACGAACCCGGAAGGACTGAGATCCACACAAGTGTGTCTACCAATAATCACAGTGATGTTTCCGTGATAATGAAGTGCTCAATTCCAATCACCAAAGTTGTTTTCTTCAATCAATAAACTCATTAGGAGGTATAACGACCTCATTTGTGGTACCGGATGGTTCCGTCCAATATGGCAGCCACCCCATCTTCCTCCCGTCGGGCGCTGCGGGGAAGGACTGAACTATTTGTGGCACCGAAAGGAGGTACCAGAAATCATCTTGGTATGCGACTGCAAGAAAATATAACCTAACTCAAATATTACCACCACAGAAAACCGTAAGTTCAAAAAATGGCCCTGCTTTTAAGCAGGCAAACCGTTTAGCTTACATTGCTAAACTTCCCCTTTAGACGTCCGTTTTTTAGAGTCGTCGGTTTTTTAGATTCGTCTACTGACTGGGCAAAAGAACGGACGATTCTAAAATACAAAAGGAATTCTCGGCGAGCCAGAGATGGTTAACACTACTGCCAAGACGACTGCCTGGCACAGTACAAAAATGTAGGAGAGTTTCTTAAATCACTTACGCCCACCCCCACCAGAGCGGCCGTAACCCTCCATTTCCCCATCTGAGGGCCCCTGTGGTTCGGTCCTCCCAACGCGGCCGCCCTCCGACGCTGGAGAGCGCGGGTCACGTGGGCTGGGGGCGGGGCCGAGGCGCCTGTGCCGAGTGGGGCGCGGGCTGGCGCCAGAGTGACCGGGCTCCGACGCGACCGGGTTTGAGTTGGCCTTGCCGGAAGGGTATTTGGTATTTGTATCTCGTTTTCTGGTGGGCTGGAGGGCAACCGTTCATTGTGGGATGTTTTAGTCATCCTACGAAAGAACCAGGTGGAGCTGGCCGATTAGCTCGGTTTGAGTGTGGTGCTGTTAACACCAAGGTCCAGGGTTCGATCCTTGCACCGGCCAGGAAAAAAGAACCAGGGGGTTGCCAGGAGCTGGGGAATGGCATAGAGAGTTAGTATTTAGTGGGGCAGAGTTTCAGTATGAAAAGATGAAGTAGTTCTGGAGATGGATGGAGGTGATGGTTGCACAACCGTGTGAATGTACTTAATGGCACTGAGTTGTGCACTTAAAATGATAAGTTTTATGTTATGTATGTTTTATCATATAGTTTAAAAAAGAAAGAAAAGAACTAAAGTTCTGATGAATGATACTAGGTTTGAAGCCTCCCCACCCTACTGTCAACTGTAACTTTGGGCAGGCCACTTAGTGCCTCTGCCTCAGTTTCCCCATCTGTAAAATGAGGGGTGACACATTTTATGTGTGTGGCGGGTGGAACGGTTCCACAAAGGCAAACTAGTTTCACCTAAAGGCCAAAATTATCCTCCCAATTTCTAGTTTCATCTGTAGCTCTCTTTAGATCGCTGGGCTCTGCTAACCGTTTTCTTCTACAAAGTGCTAAAAGGTGGGGTCGGCCCGGTGGCGCACTGGATAGTGCGCCGCTTGGGAAGTGCGGCGGCGCTCCCGCCCGAGGGTTCGGATCCCACATACAGACCGGTTCCCGCTCACTGGCTCCCCCCCGCGCGGGAGCAACACTGAGGGTTGCGATCCGTTGCCGGACACGGAAAAAGACAAAAAAAAAAAAAACAAAGTGCTAAAAGGTGGGGTCGGCCCGGTGGCGCACTGGATAGCGCGCCGCTTGGGAAGTGCGGCGGCGCTCCCGCCCGAGGGTTCGGATCCCACATACAGACCGGTTCCCGCTCACTGGCTCCCCCCCGCGCGGGAGCAACACTGAGGGTTGCGATCCGTTGCCGGACACGGAAAAAGACAAAAAAAAAAAAAACAAAGTGCTAAAAGGTGGCCTATCAATGAACAAGAAGCAGGTATTAACAGAACAGCTTGAAAACAGCTGACCTTAGTTTGGCAGCTGTCTGTTACTTAAGGAAGAGTCTTCTGTGACATGCATGTGTTGCACAAAGTGGCCACTCATTACTGTTTGCTAGGGAATCAACTTGTAGCCTTTTCTGTAGGTAAAGTTATACACGTGCTTATAAAGCAAAAAGATGTATCTGAGAAGTGCTGCAACTGATACTCAAATTGTATAAGCACCTACTATTAGGCAGGCACTCTGTGTTGGGGGCAGAGTGAGTGAACCATGTATGTTTATGTGGTTTTGGTGAACCTATCTGATCGGCTTATAAATTTTCTGACACTGTATTGGTCTGTATGCGTGTTGCTATAATAATACCTGTGGCTGGGTAATTTGTAAAGAACAGAGGTTTATTTGGCTTATGATTCTGGGACAGCTGCATCTGACGTGGGCCTCAGGCTGCTTCTACTCTTGCAAAAAGGTGACAGGCAGCCAGTGGGTACAAGAAGATCACATGGCGAGAGGAAGCAAGGTGGGAGGGATGTTCCAGGGTCTTCTTAAACAATCAGCTCTTGAAGGAACTAGTAGAGCAAGAACTCACTCATTACTCCTCCCATCTAGGGAGAGCATTAACCCATTCATGAGGGATCTGCCCCTGTGACTCAAACAGCTTCCAGCACTGCCACATTGGGGATCAGATTTCCACATGAGTTCTGGGAGGACGACAATACATCCAAACTCCATCATACTCCTTTTAAAAGGTGAAGCCAAATTCTGCTCCCTTTAAGTGTGGGTAAACTTAGTCACTCTCTTCTCATGAATATGATGTGACAGACATGACTCTGTGACGAGTATGATCCTGTGTTGAGACTTTCAAATCTAAGTCCTAAAATTGATAAGCTTCCTCTTGGATCACTGGCTCTAAAAGAAGCTAGCCACCAAGCCGTGAGGACACTCAAGAAGTCTATGGCAGGCCCCAAGCATGGCAGAACTAAACTGTCAGCCAACATCAGCACCAAATTGCCGGACATGTGAGTGAGTCATCTTGGAAACAGGTCCTCCAATCCTGGTCAAGCCTTCAGAGGGCTGCAGCCCCAGCCAAGATCTTGAGAGGCACCTCAGGAGAAGTCAAACCTGCCAACACCTTGACCTTGGACTTCAGCCTTCAGAACTGGGAGAAATAAATTTCTGGATGTTTAAGCCACCAAGTCTGATTTTGTTATGACAGCCCTACCAGACTAATATGTTAGATTAAATATATCATGTGCTAGGTAAATGTGTCAAATACATGGAAGAAGGTCTGGAAGGACACACATTGAACTGAAAACACTGGTTGATAAGGTAAGTAGGATTGGTGTCGTTGGTCAAAGAAATATGTTAGTTACAAAATCAGGTGGTGGGTTTTAACTGTTCACTGTAAAATTTGTTCAAATTTTCTGTATGTTTGAAAGATTTTATAATAAGTTTTTGGAGGGGAAAAGGCCTGACGAACCAGCTTCAAGAGGCCCCTGCTAGAACAATTTGAGCCTCAAAAGGAATTTTTTTTAAAAAAATTGCAATTGGGCCAGCCCGGTGGCGCACTCGGTAGAGTGCGGTGCTTGGGAGCGCGGTGGCGCTCCCGCCGAGGGTTCGGATCCCATATAGAGACCGGTCCGCTCACTGGTTGAGCACGGTGCGGGTGTGACACCGAGGGTTGCGATCCCGTTACCGGTCACGAAAAAAGACAAAAAGGAAAAAAAAAATTGCAATTGATTGGGATACATAATACATGTTTAAATTCATTCGTTCATAATGCTATTAAGAAAAAAATCTTGTTTGATAATGGCTTAATATTCCTGGGGCATTATTTCATTATTCTGAAAGTAAATATAAAACTCAAGCAAAAAATATTCTTGCTTTCTTATTTAAACTTTTTATTTGAGAGTAACCAAATTGTTGATGATGGAAAGTTATTTTTTAGAGAAAATTCCAGCTAATAAAAGGATTAATAAAATTAGGAAGACAACATTTTGCAACCTTTAGTGGATTGAATTATGTCCCCCCAAAACTCACTGGAGCTTGAATTGTGTCCAAGTTTTATGTATTAGAAACATTCCCCACTGTGACTGTTAAAAGGTGGGAAATCCTATTATGGTAATTGAGAGGTGGAGCCTTGAAGAGGTGATTGGATTGTAGGACCGTGCAGTAGTGAATGGATTAAAAATGGTGGTCAGGGGCATGGTTCTGAGGGCTTTAAAAGAAGAGGAGAGTCTGTCTTTCTCTCTGCTCTCTCTGCTTCCACCATCTTGCAATGTGAGACCCATGGGTCACTGTCGCCACCACCAGAGGGACTTTGGACTTCTCAGCTTCAGAAACTGTAAGCAACAAATTTCAGTTTTCTTTATAGATCACCCAGTTTCAGATATTTTGTTATAAGCAACATAAATGGACTAATACAGCCACCAAGACCTTCACCATCTGTGTTCTCTGGACTTTGGACTTCCTAGCCTCTGAAACTGTAAGCAATAAATTTCATTTTCTTATAAATCACACAGTTCCACGTATTTTGTTATAAGCAACAGAAACAGAGTAATACACAACCCTTATGAAATAGCAATCTAAGCAATGATCCAGAAATGCTGTTGAAACCATTAGGTGAGAGGTTGATGGGGAACTGTATAATGGGTGGATCAGGATGACACCATCTGAATTTAAGGCTGTAAATTTCCCTCTAAGCACTATTTTAGATACATCCCACAAATTATATGTTGTTTTCTGTTGAAAATGTTTTGTAATTTCCATAATGATTTCTCCTTGTACCTATGACTTAGTTAGAAATGTGTTTAATACTTGTAGTGGATTGAATTATGTCCTCCCAAAACTCATTGAAGCTTGAATTGTATCCCCCACATTTTATGTATTAGAAACTTAGACCCCACTGTGATTGTTAACAGGGTGGGAAATCCTATTATGGTAATCGAGAGGTGGAGCCTTGAAGAGTTGATTGGATTGTAGGATCATGCCATAGTGAATGGATTAAAAGTGGTTGTCATGGGCATGGTTCTGAAGGCTTTAAAGGAAGAGGAGAGTCTGTCTCTCTGCTCT